CCTTGATTGCTGACGTGGCCGTCTCACGTGACCTTTTTTTTTTTGCAGTTTTACCTCTTATTTTAAATTTTCTTTCAAAAACACCTCCCTTATTCTCAGTTTCACTCATTTTTGTAGAATTATTTTTAATTTTGTCCATAATTCTATTTTTTTCAAAAATTTCACAAAATTAAATTAAAATAAAAATTAAATTATTTAAATATATAATTTTTTTAATTAAAAAATTATTCCGGGTCAAATTTCTGGTCCCAGATGTTACAAATTTCTTCTGAAGTGTAATAGTGTTTTATTCCAAACTATTTATCATATTATAAATAAATTTAAAAAATTTGTAGTATAAAATTTATAATTATTTCAATTTAGGACAAAAATTTCGACAGAAAATTATACAAATTTTTTTTTGTTTTGCCTAAAAATTTATAAAATTAAAAATTATAACATAGGTAATTAACTTTGATAAAATCAGTTAGAAGAATTAAATCATTCACATAATAGTAACAGCTATAATGAATGAATAAAAAGAACCATGCAAAACGCTAATTAATTGCTTCTTATTTTAAAATGTTTTAGGTTGACTTTTTTTTTTAAAATACAAAAAAAAAATAATCATAAATTATGAAAATAGTAATAAAATTTATTTCATTTCAGTTAATGGTGCGTGGGTGTTCATATTATTTTGTCTGTAAAAGATAAAGGTACATGACAAGTACGTATTATTATTATTATTTTATATATATATATAAATGTTTGTATATATAATTATAAATAACAAGTTGGAAATCTCTAAATTTTTGTACGATTAACATTCCTCAACACGTTTTATTATCTAAGAAAAAGGGATATAATAATTTTACCAGGAAAACTACAATTAATCCCGCTAAAAAAGTATGATTTATAATTTAATATTTTATATTTAATTAGAATAAATAAATTTCATTCTGTTTGTGAAAGAAAATATTTTGTGGATTATATATCAAAATTCAATTATTTATTATGGAAATATTTTCTGTGTTATTTTATAAGCATACCAACTTATTCACTTCCCCAATTCAATTAAAAGTAGGTCACACAATTAAATAATTTTAAAATTTTATTTTCTTTATTTGATAATTACAAAAAAAAAATCTGATTAAATTTTGTAATAATATGGATAAGTTACAATCTCATATCATTTCTAATAAGATTTTATGTAACGATTCGGAACATTAAAAAAAAAATAAATTATAAATTGAATGCGGAAGCGAAATAATAAAATTAGGATTTACAATCTTTACATAATAATTAAGAATACCTAACAGGGTTACGGGAATGACTCTTCTAGAAAAATAAACGAAAAATCAAAAAAATAAATAGAAAGTAAACAACTAGGCATCCTATTCGCAATTCTCTTGTGGATCGAGATCTGGATCGTGGTCCTCTTGATCTGAAATGGTTAATGAATGAGGGAGTTACACTAGCTCAATAGAAATGTCACACTACTCACCGATACAGAAATGAAGGTTGGTAAAAATAATAAAAATAACTAATTGAGCTCTTAATTTAAGTAAATTCATTTATCATAAATAAAATCATTTATTACATAGTTACTATAGCGAGATTTTCAAAATCGACCTATAGATGCGACAACACAAACAACATTATAATCTTATTTTTAATTAGTCAGAACAACAACTTTCTATTTTTATCTGCATACTAGTATCCATGAAGGTTCATAGGGATGTCCCTACTACGCGTGAACCATTATTCAACATTGTTAACTAACTCTTCGTCCTCATACCTTGTCCGGTATGAGTACAAAAAATATTATCCCTCAATACTTCGTCCCGGTATGAGGGTGAAACGGGCCGTTACCATACCCCGTCCAGTATGAGCGTCAAAATACCAATCCTCGATACCCTATCCCGGTATGAAACAACGTTCACGGTAGGGTTTCCTATGTAACTGGGTCGTCCACCATCTCATGGGATATTCAGTAAGGTACC